TAATCTGTGGATGAACGAAAATACTCTTCTATCAATGTAAAACTATTAACTGTATTTTGTTGTTGTGACCAATATTAAAATTTGTAATTGCTTATATAATTTTTGTTAAGAGCATATTGCAAAACACTTAATTGATCGAGAACAAAATGAAAGGGCAAAAGCCACAGAGCGGGAACATGTAAGGAATATAAAATAATAAAGTGCAGTTTTTTAGATAAAGGTTTGTGTTTTATCTCAGAGTCACACATCATTGCGACAACGGCAAAAATGCTGAAAATGTTAATTTAGATTTTTAGTCCGTAGTGACAAGTTATATTTTAATTTATTTATTATCCATTTAATTAGTTTTAGATTAGTTGTAAGTAACTCTTGTTGTTGAAAAATTACATCGGTAAATACTTAATTATGAGAATAAACTAACAAGATTAATTAAAGGATCGTTTTTCTTTCGTTACATATATGTATGTATATTCCCTGAACATACCATATACATTCACTGAACATACACATGTACATTCACTGAACATACCATGTACATTCCCAGAAAATACACATGTATCTTCACTAAACATACCATGTACATTCCCAGAACTTACCATCAACATTCAGTGTATCAACTCTGACAGATTCCTGGGACATTCATGGAATGTTCATAATGGAACTCATGTATGTCCCAGGAATATGCATGTACATCACATGAATGTTCCAGGTATATTCTGGGAATATCATTTTGCTATGTGGGTTATTGTCCATAAAAACTTTTTAATGAAAAGTTTTGTAGATAACAAGAACAAAAACAACGCTTTTGCTACACGGGTTGTTTTTAAAGTAAAACGATATACCTTTTATTGATAAAACAACCCGTTTTTGAAATATTGCCAATTTAACTAATCAATGAACCCTTGAACTCAATTCATTTGACAATTTTTGCGACCTCGTCTGGTGTGGTCAAAAGTGGTCTAAAGTACAATTTATTCAAAAGTGTTTTCCGTACTTGATACATGAGATTCGCATAGATATAAGACAAAAACATGTAGTTTATAAAGAAGACACGCACTGCTCCCTCCTTAAACATTGCGCATTTGAAATTTCCGGAATAAACGGTTTTCAAGCACGTGGCTGCAGCCACCAGAACCATGGTTTGCGGCAATGAGTTTTCTTGATCAACTCGCAGCCCTGACCTGAATCGCTTAGATTTTTGCCTTGATGGTCACATAAATGATCTGTTTGATGAAGAAGAATCTGACAATATAGTTAATTATGGTATTAACTGAGCCACAATTCTAAAGTCATGCTTCATCTCGTAGAAGAGTCATTTATGGCTCTATTCAGTAGTGCAGAAAAAAGCTCTTTACCTCAACCTGTTCCCGAGAAATTGGCACAAAGACGTACGTTTTTGTGTGAAAACCACCAGTATTTCCTGACTAGAGTTTCATTAACTGAATTCTGATTGATCCAATAGTAGAAAAACGGGCACTGCAGCTCAAATATTTGTTGAGGTGCGACGAAAACTGCGAATTTATGCATTGGTTGATTTCGCATTTAAACCGAAAACACGCAATACTAAGGCTTTTCTTAAAACTAATGTTTTTTTTTTGTCAAAACTAGGAACATTTTCACACTCAACACTCAAGCGGTGCTCTTACCTAGTCAAGGCAACGGACTGCTTCCGATCTAAGAATCTCCCCAAGACCACAAAACCTCCAGTTAGTGCGCCACCCAGCCGTGTAGAAATGAGAAAAAAATGGCGGAGAAAAAAAAATTATACTTTTTTAGAAATTTTAAATTTTTTTGCGAAAACTGCCAACATTCTTCTCTTCCCGAGTGGTACTTCACCTTGCAAAATCGCTGAGAAATAAAAACGGTCAAACTGTTCCTAAGAAATGAGTAAAAATATGGCAAATTTTTTTGGTTAGCTCGTAGCCCTGATGTTAATTATTTAAATTTTTACGTTGAAAGACGCCTCAAAGAAACGGTTTAGAAGATAGAATCTCAATCGCGCGGGGATATTTTACAAAAAACTTTACGCCGTAGTTAATAGATACCTTATGAAACCAAGGGCGGATCCAGCTTTTGAGTCAGGGTAGAGGGTCAAGTAGTAGAAATTCAGTCTTTTGTTGTCTATGAAATTAAAAAAAATA